GAATGACTTAAATAATCCTCTGCGTGAATTGTAGAAGCTAAGATTTATGTAATTTATCATACTCTGCACCTCGATTGGAAAAGGAAAGAAAGTTTTTGATCGTTGGAATGCCAGGCGCCCATACACTTCTATGACCGGTAACATCTCTTTTCATGGGGCCTACGGCAGGCAGCTGATGTCCAATTCTTTGTCATTAGCCAGAAGGGTCATTGTCTTATTTCTCAAAGGCTACATCTGCAGCTATAGGTGGGGGGATGGATAGCCTCCGGTCTCCATTCATACAAATTGGTATTCATATATCTAATCTTATCGGGATGAAAGGCCAGTGACTTGAACTCATGATCTATCGGTCTGAGTGCAATTTTTCACCTCCTTCCGTTGTTTTTTTCTCCAGAGTAAGAGCTTTCGACTTATGGGTAGTGTCAGATATCCTTCGTTTGCAAGAATTACTCTTTTAAACGCAATATACATCAGAACGTTTTTTGCCGTTGCAAGGTTAACGATGGACATTCACTAATGGTTCAAAAAGCTTAGCAGCCTTATTTAAGTTTCTTTCATTATTCTGTTTCATCTAGTTTTTCCCACCGAAACGCTGCAATGCAGCTTGTTAATTACCGGCAATGGCAATAAGACATACTTTCTGCTTAAATCATAAAAAATTGCGACTCATTTTGACCCATGTGACAGCTTACAATTCAGTGTTATAGTTAGCACAAGGTGTAAACCTAAAAATGCTGAACGACCATACAATATGATATAATTGCACAAATGACTTGTCAGCACAACTGCCAATTAGAGCAAACGGTTTATTAAGCACATCATAATGAAACGAGATTACGAGAATTAATAATCTTTGCCTGTCACTTAGTATTGCTCGTCATTTATCTGGATTGTCCTCGTTGCGAGCTCGCCATGAACGCAAATCGATGCTCCTACAATCTTTAGTTTTCTTGAGTGTCTTTTGGAGAGCGGTTTTTCGGCAGTCTGTTCGGGGTGTCAACCCCCCTCCCCGTGAAATATTGCTGATGTTTCAACAACTTTCATGAGACCCAGTGATTTCACAGAAGTACAAAGTTCCTGAGGGTTTGGATACGGAAGATATCTACTACTGTCTCGGCTTATAGGAGTGAGCTATCGCAGCACTATCGCACCACTTCTAAATGTTCATTTCAGCGCGACAGTAAACAGGTAGATGCTATTCGTACAAAACGAAACAAACATATAACACTTGTACCCTGTTTGGTTACATAGGTGATCAATTATTAATAGTTTGACAAGTAATTTCTAACAGGTTTAAGTTTATCTTCTCAATTCGGGTATGCTACATCGTCTATCTTCATGGCCCATTGATGTCCCGTACTAACGTAACACGGAAGCCGTGCTCATCTTAGGTTTGGTTTTGGATTCGAAAAAGGATAATTGTAGAGGAAGGAGTAAACAAGTAATGGATACGCTGGCCACTGTCAGTCACTACCAGTCAGCATTTGGCTTCGCTTTAAACAAGCACATGGCCAAGTGTAATTCGACCTCATATCGATCATTAAGTGAGGATCATCGATTGCTCGACGTTCCCTGTACTTTGGCGATAAACGTTTGATGTTGTGGCGAAATGACGATAATTTTTCGCCGGTGTACCTTCGCTTACGGAGCAGACAGTGAAACGCGGCGATCATCAACGAATAGATAATTAAGCAGTTTGGATTCCCCGGAGAGCACTATGAGCGGAAATCAAAAGGATAACGAGTAAAATCGATATCGGACATTCGGCAAGCTTTCACTTAACGGAGAAGACAGCGATCATTGAAGAATGCTAAAGTGGCAGTACACTGGCGACACACGTTTCATGCCAGTGGTTTGGCACTTGTCCACTGACCAACGACGATGGCGTCAAAAATGACCGTCCAACGCCGAAATCAGAGCCACAGCATTTGGCTACAATTTTGCAGGCCTGATTTCTGAACGAGCCCCTTTGCAGTGTGTCCATCGGGGAAGGACAAGGGGCGGAAGGTAGACGCTAGAAGTCGATGCCGAGCAACTGAGCTTTTCTGCATTCGGCTTGATTGACCATTGCACTCTTTGTCTCGGCTGCGACGCCGCAGAGGTCTTGAATGAAAGGTACGTAAATGAGGCATTGTTTTGCGTAGGCTAGCCTGAGCTCCCCTCACTTCGTCCGTCGCCCGCCCGCCTCCACTTGCCCTGCTTCGATTGCGCTCGACTCGCATCATCATCTTCGTAAATATTTCAGCATCTTCAATCAGCAGCCGAAGCCAAAACGAAACGCGTTGCTATAAGAAGCGATCGTTTCGCTAACTCGTGGCCGTTGTCTTCTTTGTTGTCCACTTCAGCTACCGCTTTTAAAGTCGATCCGATCCTGCCGCTGCCTTCGCCAACACACGATCTGTCTTCAATCTGTTTGGCAAACAGGTTTTGGACGTAAGGGGCGAAGAAAGCGAGAACCTGCACACTCGGCACTCCGAGTTGCGGTTGTAGGGCGCGCGAAAAACCTTGCTACTACTCCTACTGGAAATTATGAACTGAAAACTTGTTGACGCGACTCGAAGCGAGCCGACAGGAGACGAACCGTTTTTCACTCGGGTACAAGCCTTATGTCTCAGGTACGAACGGAGAGACGACGCTGTAGTAAACAAGCGCTTACGAGACTTCGCGTCAGGTGCCACAGAAGATACTGATCATGTGGAGAAAAATTAGTTGTCCGGCCAACGCAACTGGTTTTCTGGCATCAGTCGGCTATGAAGGACGACAACGAGTGAGTGAGGAGGAGGAAGTGAAAGACGGCCGCCTGGCGGAGGAGGATCGGTCTGCCTCGGTTCTTGAGCGACGTCTCGCCACACCTCTGATCGCCGGCGCTTTCTAGCAAGCCGCAGCGATTAGCTTCATCATCAGACACAAACCAACGCTTGTCCGTCCTCGGCATATCTAAGCCTCGCGCACTCGCGTGAGGGCCTGTGCCACTCTTTCGAAACTCGTCATCTGCGGCTGCAACCGTTTCGCCACGTGACCCCCTTCTCGCGCATTACTTCTTGCCATTGCAGAGTTGCACGCTCGCCATGATGGTGCTCCTTGATGGCTCTCCTGAGAATCGCCAGGAACAGGTTGTAATCGTTTACATTCAAACCGTCGTTACTGTTTCCCTCACCGCCACCCGTTACCGCCCGTTATCATCATCAACCAGTCCTTGATGGCCGTCGACAATGAGCAGGCCCCTTCAGTCACTGAGCTGAAGGAGGAACCGACGGACGCGGTCATGGCAGCTGGAATGGTGAGCGACAAACTCACTCATCTATAAAGTATGCCGTAACAGTTATGGCCTTGTTTTAGGACGAATCAGCGATCCCGTTGACAGGCAGTGAGCATGCAGCCCGCAGGCGCGCAATAAACCGCAAGACAAAGGTGGAGCGCCCTCAGCGGGCACTCTTCTGCCTGAAACTCAACAATCCCATCAGGAAGCTATGCATTCGATTTGTGGAATGGAAGTAAGTGAACGAGTGATCTGATCACATCTATTTGACTGTTCTTCTGACCCGCTCATTCAAATCGGTCGATTTGTTCAAAACTGCGAGTACTTCAAGTACCTGAGGCATTCACGTCTGTCACTTGAAGAGTAGTCGTTGCAACCTTAGCCGGTTTCACAAAAACGAATAAATAAATCTCATGTTTTCGTCAAAGTGGTCTAATTCATAAATTTTCAGACATTCTTAAGCAGTTTGTAGTTTTTAGAGTGCCCTCGCGTTTGTCCAAAATCCTGTAAACTGTCCCTCAAACGTAATGAAACCTCTAAAATTTTGAAGACTGCTTGAAAAAAACCTGACGGGCCAAGTGGTTCTTTTTCTCGTTTAGCGTTCAGGAGTGAGTCATTGTTCGGTCCTTAAACTTAAAAGCCGCCGGAACGAAGTTTCTAAATTAGTAGCACCGTTTGGCTCATAGAGCGGACACTTGCTTGCAAGATGATCCATAGTGCTTGATGATCTGCCGAAATCAACTAGTGCGACGTTTGTTAAACGATCGCGGCAAACCCTTGCCAGTCAGTTATGGAGTTAGTTGCGAGGACTGCTAATCGTTTAAAAAAAATACAGTCGCAGAGGCAGACACGTCTAACAGTGTAAAGTGCCTCCCACGTTCCTGGTTATATACCAGCGTTTCAGCTTCGACAGAAGATAACCCGCATCTGAAGCAGACGTGGCTCAGACTCTTACCAGGTCATATTTGTTCATTCTTGGCATTCCTGGGCCAGTTGGCTGAAAAGGAAGTAGGTACCTAGCCAACCCGTTCTGGAGATATTCGCAAACCGTGCCCATACCATCGCAGTTGTGACTTACCAACCTGGATATCCGTTTTCCAATTATGCTGATTCGCCTCAGAAAGCCCATTTCAACCTCTTTTACCAGGGATTGAAGATTTTCAGACATGACCCACGACTTAGGATCGTGGGTGAGCAGCGGGATGAAGACGACGTGAACACAGAGGGCTCAATCCTCTTACTCAGCTCTGCTTTAGTCAGCACGGTTCGATCTAGTCACGCAGAACACTGCTAGCCATTCTTACTCCCGGTCGATCTCTTCATTCCATTTTCCATCAACAGTAACACGGCATCGAGGTGCGTGAACTTCATTACCTCCTCCACTTCTTCTACTCTGCTGACACATTAGGCGGCCTGGCTGATCCTCAGTATTCTATCCATACGCAATACAAACACGAGAGGGCACAGAACACAACTTTGCCAGAGACCAGAGCCAACGCTGAATGGTTTCAACTTAACGCCATTTAATCTGACGCAGCACTTGCTATCAGCATACAGTGATCAGATGGCTCTTGGCCACTGGCCATCGATCCCTCACGTTTGCAGATGCACCCATAGCTTATTGCTCAGAATCTGTTAGTAGGGGCTTTCTCCAGATGAACGGAGCACTTGCAAGCCAGATGAGTGAACTGCCATAATTTCTCCAAAATCGGACTTAAGGCGAAGACCGGGCCAAACGTGCTTCTGCCTCATCTAAAGCTGCGCTGCTCTTCTTGAACACTGAGAGTCACTCATTCTGCTGCACCTTTATTCGATCCTTTCCAGGGATAAGATACTGTAATATTCAATAATGCTACAATATTTCCTATGACACGTCCCCCTCGAGGAGTAGTACAACCCTCGTTCTCCAGTCCATTGACGTCTTTCACTTAACCATTGCATCTTGATGTACTATTGCTTGCCACAACGTGCGTTGTTCGTCTAAAACATTAAGCATTTCAAGGCAGATTTCATCGATTCCAGCAGTCCTTCTCCTTTTCAAACTCTTTGCAAATTCTGTGACTTCATCTGCTTCATCGACTGATATCCGTTGCCTGCGGCTCTTCAGGCGACTCTTTCTGTGACTGCTGGAGCATAAGAAATCCCTGAAAGCAGCATCTTCTTTGCCGAAGCATGTCCTTATGTGGACTTGTTGCAAATCCGCATCCGAACTTGTCCCTCAGGATTTTCAAATCTCCCTTATTTCCATCCGGCAGGTGCCAGATGGCCATCCTGAACACCTTATTTGTCGTCTGGAAATTCGATTCTAGTAACTTTTCCCAGGAATCAGCTTTTACTTTGGCTACTGCTGTTGCTGCCGCATTGTGCGCTTCTTCGTACCGAATTCGAACTCAATGCTAATTGTTTCCAAGCCAACCTTGAATGTCCCCTTTATTTTTGCTGACAGCTAGTTGAACCTCTCTTGTCCAATGGGAAGTTTGTTTCTGACCTCCAGGCGGCAAGCAAACCCTTTATAAACGACCATATCCAGGAGTAAACCGCTTTTAAAATGCTTCCACTTGGTTTTCTCCTCAGCGGTCATCACTGGGATCTGTTCAAATCGTCGTGCGATGTTGTTTGCAAGTTATGCCCTTAGGTCTGTAGAAAATACAGTGTCCCATGTGAATTTCTGTTTGATTCTGCCGCCAGATCTTTGTACGGTAATCCATCGTTTACAACAGAGGATGCCATTAAACAAGGTGATGATTGATTGGCGGTTTTGCGCCTCCCTTAACGTGAACATCCATTACTGAGCTTCTTAAATCAGACGATACGATTCGTAAACCGATGGTCGTCTTCTGTGCGCAAGTTGCCTTATAACAGTTGTACTGATGCCGCTTCGACGCAGCAGACAGTTCGTTGTTCGTATAAAGCCGCAACAACTTCAAGCCGTTATTGTTGAAGTCACTAGAGTCGCTCATTACAGTAAAGCCTTTTCAATTTTCAATGCCTGCTCTGATATGCGTATTAAAATCGCCCATTAGTATGAGGGACTCCGCATTTGGTACTTCGTAGAGAGCACACTCCACTTCCTCAAGGAAAGTATCATGTTATCCCTCCAAATTGGGGGCATCGACCTGGAATATGGTCCAAGCTTAAACCTGTTGTAGACTGAATGAATGATGCCACTCTTTCGCTTACAGACAAATGGTTTTACCAGCCAAGTTGAGTTCTACTAGAAGGAGGGATTGATAGTCGAGGCCTGAATAGAATAGCTATCATCCGAAAAGTTCAGAATTCGAAAACGCTATTGCTTCGTTGTCGAAAGCCCAACCATGTTCAGTTGGTACCTTAGTGTCGTATGATCTAGCTAATGGAGTTTCCCTCTCAGTGAGGAAACTCTAATTTTTGACTCTAAGCTCTCACTGTCGGTTTCTCGTATACCTTTAAGTGACATGTTATAATGGCATAGTCATATATTTCCCATCCGTTCACAAAGTCCTTACTAATTGGTATCTTCCTCTCCTTATTGTCGATCTTCGTCTGCTAGAAGAAGTGAAGCACATTCTGATGGCCGACGTTTCCCGGTCTTCCTTAGTTCCCTGACCGTTAGCAGAGCCCTTGGTAACCGTAGCGACGACCGAGCCAGTACAGCGTTTACTAATGGTAATATCGTGAGGGACAGGGGGCTACCTCTTACGGGAGTCCTCGCCACAGTTTTCAGCTGTCCTCCTTTCTCATCCAGGCTCATGAGCCCCAATGGCGATTTGCCTATCTGAGATTTAGTCATCAGGTTCAAGTATCAAATTGGATTTATGACATAAAATATGAAATTAATAGATCAGTGAACATAACTGACCTTCCAAATTGAAGTTGACAGTTGGACCAAGCTATGTTTCAAGTATTTTGTTTTTTGTCGCATGTGCCTTTTTGAGTTCTTTCGCTTATTCGAACTGCACGTCAAATTTTATGAGAATCAGGATATCATTGCCTTAACTGTTAACACCATGTAAAATTCTTTTTTACCCAGTGATTTAGTATCCGGTTTATTCCATATGGTTTTCGCTGATCAAATTAGAATGTGTTAAAAGTATAAACCTCATATCTCATCACACAAAATTCATCTAGTGGATTTCGTAGCAAGTCACTGAAGCTTGCTTTACAATAGATTTTCAACAGTCGAAACTGTTACTTCCAGTTCGTACACAGATGCCAACAATCAATTGCAGTTCTACAAAATAGGATAGACGTGTCATCCTAAAGTGTCGCACAGCACAGATGCAAAGAGGTCAGCTGAGTTCGATTTCTGCCCTATGATAGCACATTCATGAGGTTAAAAGAGACGTTTGCTGGACAGTAGGAATGTTGTCAGTGCTGAATGAGGCAAAATGTAAGGTGGCAATAAAGAATAGTCATTACCGATGTTTAGGCCACCCAAAATTATAACACTGCACTGATACCTGGTGTTAGAACACGAATTCCCATGTAATCTTGAGCTGAGAAACGACACTTGCGATGTCGCAGCTAATTCCTTATATGCCTGTGTCAGCAAAGCAAAAAGATACGAACTAAAAAACGGATTAAATCTACGCAAAGGTATGCAATATTAAAAATAAGCTGGCGATAAACGCAACGGTATTGATTGATTAGTTGAGCAGCTCATTCAATAATATGTTGTTCATGCTGTCGTTACATTTCGTTCCCGGAATGAAACCACGTACTTTGGTCGTTGCCACAATCAGCTGTGACTATGCTACGACCTAAAGAATTTACTGTAGCCCATAATTCCAGAGAAGAGGAAAAGAAGAGAAATGTTTGCAACCGCTGTGATTTTTGTTTTCCTCACCTTTTCATGATGGAGTCATTCAGGCACCATTCAATTCGCGGAGTTGATTGTCATTTCTATGCCATCAGTCAGAAAAGCCTCATTTTCAAAGGTAGAATCGACAGCAGCTCTGTGGTGACCATGATGTATAGTCGTTTGTTACTTTCCCATGAATTAGTACCTATTTGTCAACTTCAAGAGAAAAAAAATCAAAACTCAGACCGGGACTCGAACCTGGGTCTTCTGGGTTCTGAGTCTATGCTGCATTACGACAACCACAATCCGGCGTAACGTTTGGTAAATCCGTTGCTCATTGAAATTCGTCATGAAGACAAAGACTGCCTTCTACTGAAAGCAAACCCGTCACCTTCAGAGTTTGAAGCCGAGTCTAAACACTGTGACATCACATAACTACCTCGCAGTAGAGTGCGTTTA